TTTTCATTCTTAAATAAATATATAAATATATAACATAGTTTTTCTTTTTAGGGAATTGAAATTGCAATTTTATTGATTTAAAAAATGCATTAAAATTAAAAAAGAAATTACTCTTTTTTTTTTTTGGAAAAGACCGAAAACCGGGTTTTCCCGCGTTTTTCGGGTTTCTTGGGTCAGGTCCGGATCGGATTTTTTCGGGTCAGCCGGGTTTTTCCGATTTTTGACCATTTTCGGGTTTTGAAGAAACCGAACCGGATTTTTGTCCGGGTCACCGGGTTTCGGGTCAACCCGGCCGGGTCGGGTCGGTTTTTTAAACATAGAGTTATACATGGTAATTGAAATAGAGAAATTAGGAGCATTTTTAGTTTTTCTTGCCATCTTCTTTCGAGAAAAAAAAATGATAGGGATATATGACGAATACCGGCGATTGATTGCGATGAACCAAACCCGGTGGATCTACAAATATATAGATCAATACAGTGACTGAAATCTATATAGGGGAATTCTACAGGTATGTTGAGATATCTGATACGTTATGATATAAATTGTATTAGTGACTCACGATGTGATAATGGCTCACCGTGTGAGTAACTACGACAGTGACTCAAATCCACGTAGGAGATTTCTAGAGGTATGTTGGCATGACACAATGTGACATAAGTGGTATTATTGACTCACCATGTATTACTTCCTCCGATTCTAAATAAACTTCACACTTTCCTTTTTGGGACGGTCCAAAATAAACTTCACACTTCCTTATTTCCTTATTTGGCAAAGAAATATACATCAAAACAGTGTTAAACAGTGCTAAACAGTGTCAAACAGTGTCTCAACAGTGCCAAACAGTGTCTCAACAGTGTCAAATAGTGTCTCAACAGTGTACTCTACAGTAAAGTCAACTTTATTTCCTTAATAATTGTGAAGTCAAACACTGAAGTTTAAAAAGAACCAGAGGGAGTATAAATTAGTGACTCATTATGTTATAGTGACTCATCATGTGAGTAACTAAAGAGTGAATGAACCCTTTTAAATTCACTAGTGACTCTACGTATCTTCATAAAAATTGAAATTGAAATCCATGCAAAATAGCTATTTCCCCCTATTTGTTCAAATTGATACAAATAACAGAGGAGGTATTTTAAAAAAAATGTAAATGTTGAGAAAAGATTAGAAATTGGGATTTATCATTGATCGACGAGAATAATGATATACGAAGTATATGAGTATATGACGATTGTAATGAGTAAGAACAAACTTGAGCATATTAACTCTTGATTTGGAACTTTCTCGGGGGGATGACGATGATTTGATGTTAGGAGAGTCAATGGGAAACACAAATTCAGCTGGGAAGAAAGAAAAAGAAAATAAAGCTTGATGGAAGTCGCATGAAAGAAGAGATAGACTATGTTTGGTACGCAAAAGTCTATGTCTTCTGACTTTTGTATTATTTAAAAAGTCTCTAAAAGCTTCTGGTTGTATGTTTGGTATGACAATTTTAAGAGTTTTAAAAAAAATAAAAAGCTCTTTTTTGAGATGCTACAGGGAGTAGCATCTGAAAAAAGTCTGTGACTTTTAGCATTAATTAGTCCCAAGATGATTACCACAAAAAAACGATTTATTGTTCTATTAATTATATGCTTAGTCACTTTTATGGAAAAATTAGAGATAGTCATATGTTTAGAATTGAAAAACTAATGCTAATATAGGTGCCATTTTTTCTAAACACATACCAACATCCCAACATGATTTATTTATTCATATCGTATGTATATGGATATTTTATATTCATTTAATAAAGTTGTGAGTTTCTTTTCCAGTTTTTAAGTTTTCATTTATTTACGTTTAATTCCATAATAATATGCTTAAGGGACATAATTATATGCTTTTTTAATAATGACATTATTATATGCTTATTATTTTAAATTGTTAATATGAGACACTTAACCATTTAAGACCAATACATGGATTTTAGCTCATGGCGATATTCCACAAGTGAATTTTTTTTAGAGATATAATTAACAAACTTATCACATAAATAGTTACTCGGTAACAGAAAATTTTCATTGAACGTGTCCACCTATTAGTATAATCCACAATAATGATGTACGGAGTATGTAATATTCTTGTTGATATTATTGATATTATTGAAATACGATACAAAAGCAAGAAAGAATAGGAAGACTTGTCATATGTTATTATTGAGCCAAAGCCATGCATATATAGTAGTATTACAAGAGGAAATAATTGAGGCATACCTCAATGATCAGTGTACCCTACGAGAAACAATAATAGGAGTACTAATAATAATAATAATAATAATAATAATAATAATAATAATAATAATAATAATAATAATAATAATAATAATAATAATGTGTAACACCCCCCCTCAAGTTGGAGCATGGGGGTCCAGAATGCCCAACTTGCGCAGAAGAAAATGAAATTGAGTCTTCCCCAAAGCTTTAGTAAAAATATCTGCCAGCTGATAAGTGGTAGGCACATATGAGGGTGAGATCACACCATCTTGTATAGCATCACGAACGAAATGACAATCGACCTCGATATGTTTCGTGCGTTCATGGAAAACAGGATTTTTAGCCAGGTGAATAGCAGATTGACTGTCGCAGAAAAGAGGAATAGCTCGTGAATGGTTTACACCTAAGCTTAGCAACAAAGCTTTTAACCATTTCAGTTCACAAGTGGCCGCCGCCATGGAGCGATACTCTGCCTCTGCGGAAGAGCGTGAAACAGTGTGTTGTTTCTTGGTTTTCCATGAAATTGGAGAATGGCCGAGGAAAACAACCCATCCTGACAAGGAACGCCGCGTAAGTGGGCAGGCCGCCCAATCGGAGTCACACCATCCCTGTAAATGAAGGTTACTATCAGACCGTAGGAGAATGCCTTGACCAGGAGAACCCTTCAGATATCGGACAACTCGTAATGCAGCTTCCCAATGATCCTGTCGAGGCTGGTGCATGAATTGGGATAAGATATGTACCGAGTAAGCCAGGTCAGGGCGTGTCACCGCTAAATAAATGAGGCGACCTAACAGGCGACGGTATGGCTCTGGATCCGCAAGCAGAGAACCAGAAGCTTGGGATAATTTGTGATTTTGCTCGATGGGAGAAGTTGCCGGTTTAGCACCCAACAATCCTGTTTCAGTGAGAATATCAAGTGTGTATTTCCGCTGAGTTAAGAATAATCCGGCCGTGCTTCGAGCAACTTCGATCCCCAAAAAATATTTGAGAGGACCTAAGTCTTTCATGTGGAAACACGTGGATAAGTACTCTTTAAACTGAGAAACGGCCGTTGAGCTATTACCGGAAATGAGCAAATCATCAACATAGATGAGCACATTGAGCTGTTCTTGATCGCGGGTGCGAGTAAACAGTGAGTAGTCGGCATATGATTGGAGAAACCCATATCTCTTTAAAGCAGTGACAAGTTTAGCAAACCAACATCTGGGGGCCTGCTTAAGGCCGTACAATGATTTATGTAATCGGCACACAAGGTTTGAGTCAGCGTGGTGAAAACCAGGCGGTGTCGTCATATACACTTCCTCGTGAAGATCGCCATGCAAGAAGGCATTATGTACATCCATTTGATGCAATTCCCAATTTTTAGATGCAGCTACTGCTAAGAAGGCACGGACGGTGACCATTTTAGCAACTGGTGCAAAAGTTTCATTGTAGTCTAACCCGGCCACCTGTCGGTTACCAAAGATTACCAATCGAGCTTTGAGACGTTCAATAGTTCCATCAGAATTGTATTTAATTTTATATACCCAGCGACACCCTAAAGCACGTTTTCCGGGTGGGAGTCGAACCATTGTCCAAGTTTGATTAGCTTCAAGAGCCCGAATTTCAGAACTCATAGCATCACGCCACCCCTCATGAGTGTATGCCTCATGAAAATTGCGAGGTTCTTGACCTGCAGTAACAGCTGCGAGGAATGCTCGATGACTGTCAGAAAATTTGCTACAACTAATATAATGTGCTATTGGAAACGGTGTACCTGAGGAAAGCTGCGGAGTAGGTGTAGCGGGAGATGGACTAGAAATAATGACTGTATTAGTGGTATAGTCACGAAGTTTGACAGAGGGGATTTTGTTACGTAAACCCCGACCAAGGAGGGGTTCAGGTTCGCTGGCCGATGGTGAAGTAGGATCAGGAAGGGATTGAGTGGGCTGGTCAAATTGTTGAATGGGGTCCATATTTGTTTGTTGTGTAGTGATAATGGAAGAGTCAGATGTTTGGTGCGTAGCAATTTCCTGGGAAGAAATAATGGGAGGTGTTTGTTGTGCTAAGGGCTCCACGTCATTTTGGAAAAAAGGGAGTTCACATGGGATTTCTTGGTGGGCAGTAGATTCATATGTGGTGGGAATTGAAATTGGAGTTTCAGAAAAGGGAAAATGGGTTTCATAGAATTTAACATCTCGAGAAGTGAAATACTCGTGAGTTTCAAGATCGAATAAACGCCACCCCTTTTTTCCAAATGTATACCCAACAAATATACATTTTCTACTTCGGCTAGAAAATTTGTCCCCCCGACTTTTTTTGGTTATGAGCGAAACAAAGGCAACCAAAGACACGAAGAGTGGTATAATCAGGTAAAATGCCATATAAAACTTCAAACGGTGTTTTTTGGTGAAGTACGGCGGAAGGTGTGTAGTTGATGAGATGGGCGGCAGTGAGAATACATTCCCCCCAAAAAGATATGGGTAAATGTCCTTGGAAACGTAAAGCCCGGGCCACATTAAGAATGTGACGATGTTTCCGTTCGACCCGCCCATTTTGTTGAGGAGTCCCTACACAAGATGTTTGAAAAAGAATCCCATGTTCACAGAAATAATTTTTTAAACAATTAAATTCTGTGCCGTTGTCACTCCGTACCATGGAAATTTTGCTAGCAAATTGACGTTCAATCATGACTATAAAAGACATAAACATATGGTAAACCTCTTTTTTATCAATCAATAAATAAACCCAAACTGCTCGAGAAAAATCATCCACAATGGTTAAAAAACTTTTAGCACCACAAGAAGAGGGAGTGTGATAAGGACCCCAAACATCACAGTGAACAAGTTCAAATATTCGGGTGGTTTTATTAGTACTTGTAGGAAATGGAGTTCTAGAATGTTTAGCTCGGTGACATATTTCACATGGCAAATTTTTATTAAATTTATGCATGGGAAAAAGAGACGACATAATTGTTTCGGATGGATGTCCCAAACGTTGATGCCAAATGTCCACAGATAAAGTTGAGTTGGTTACGGCAAGGGAATGAACCAATTTTCCGGTACAGAAATAGTAAAGTCCATCTCGACGCTTACCCAGTCCAATCAGCTTCCTCATTTGAAGGTCCTGTATAGCACAAGTATTAGAAGAAAATTGTAGCAAACATGGGGTGTCATTAATTAACTGTGAAACTGAGAGTAAATTGCAAGTCAGTTGAGGAACATATAACACATTTTGGAGGCATATATCTGTGGATAAGAAGACCCGTCCAGCTTTAGTAGCCAAGGCTTGGTGACCGTTGGGAAGGCCAACTAGCCGAGCAGTAATATTACGGATGTGAGAGAGGCACGAAAAATTTCCTGTGACATGATTAGAAGCTCCGGAGTCAATGATCCAAGAAGTGAAATCAAACGTACCGTGCATGCGGTTGGACGGAGAAGGTGGCTGACCAAAGGCCGCCATTAGTGCGTGCCACTGAGCTTCGGAAAAAATGGAGCGGCCGCTTCCATGGTCGGCGGTAGGGAGCTGCCCGGAGGAGCTTACGGCCATGGAGAAATCCTGCTGGCCTGAGAGATGAGCAGCATGCTGGGGACCATTATCGTTGAAGTAGACATCCGAACTGCAAGTTGCAGATGTTGGTTGGCTTGGCCCTGGAGTGTTGGATGCATGCATGAGCTGGAGACTTGCTGCTGGAGAGATAAGATGATGCTCCATACCTGCAGGGTTGACAGTGGGCCTAGAAATAATAGTAGAGTTGACTTTGGCAGCTGCATTTTTTTGTCCACGATGCATAGTGCGCCCATCAGACGGAGGAAAATACTTCACATTTCGTTCAGATAATCTGGGGCGGCTGCCCCACCATTCTGGATAACCTTTAATTTCAAAACAGCTTGCACTGGTATGTCCCCGAGATTTACAGTGAGTGCAAGTTAAACCAGATTTATCAATTTTTTCATATTTCAATTTTCCTTGGATGTCTGACCGAAGTGCAAACCCCATGACTTCATTATTTTCATCTCGTTCCTTACTTTGAACCATTCCACGCACCCGTTCCTCTTGTGATATTTGTTGGAACGCCCGATTAAGCGTGGGGAGAGGTGTTTGGGAAAGTAATTGAGAACGAATTTGTCCATAAAATTCTGAAGATAATCCCATTAAAAATTGATGAAATCGCTCGGATTCTCGGCGTTGTTCATGTAAAGTATTGACCTTACAAGTACACTTACCGCAAGAGCAATTTATCAATGGTTCATAATTATTAAGCTCATCCCACAAAACTTTAAGCTTCCCATAATAGGTGGCAACCGACTGTGATTTAGATTGTTCACATCTAGCAATATCGGTTTTTACTTGATAAATTTTAGGACCGTCAACCACCGAGAAACGCTCTTTTAAATCATTCCAAAGAAGTTTTGCATCATCAAATTTAGACAAAGTAAGTTTTACCTCCGGTGAAATAGTATTCAAAATCCAAGAGACTAACATGGAGTGTATAGTCAACCAATCTTCCTCAGTGCAAGGAGGCTGGGGCTCATTGATAACACCATTGACGAAGACAAATTTACGCCTAGCGCGAAGTGCAAGGCGGACAGAACTTGACCAATCATCGTAATTTTCACCGGTAAGACGAACTGGAGTGATAAAATCTCCGGGTCTATCTTGAGGACCCAAATAATACGGAGAAGTGTATTCTATTTTAGGAGTAACTGTAACCTCTCCAATAGCCATGGAGATGAGGTAGAAATATCACTAGAGAGTTTGAAAATAGCATGGCTCTGATACCATGTTGATATTATTGATATTATTGAAATACGATACAAAAGCAAGAAAGAATAGGAAGACTTGTCATATGTTATTATTGAGCCAAAGCCATGCATATATAGTAGTATTACAAGAGGAAATAATTGAGGCATACCTCAATGATCAGTGTACCCTACGAGAAACAATAATAGGAGTACTAATAATAATAATAATAATAATAATAATAATAATAATAATAATAATAATAATAATAATGTGTAACAATTCTCAAACGGTCAAACCTGATGTGTCATTAAGTGACACGAGATTAGTACTTTTGTCACTTGTTTAAAATTAATTGCATTTTAAAGTCAAGAAACGATGATTGAACAAAATAAAAATGACAATTTTCAAGATTTGAATTGTTTCAATAAAGATATATATCATCTTATAAAAGGGTATAAAGGCGCCAAGCACCATTAAAATATGTTATGTAAGATTTTATGGCATATCATGTAATCCAATTGGATAATCATAATGTCTTGTTAGAGACTGCTCAATAGATTTTCATCAGTCCTAATGTTCTATAAACCAATAGAGAAACAACCAAGTCACTCCTTTTGTTATTATCTCCTCTAGTTAATAACAACATCCTTAATTGAAAGATCAACAATGATGTCATTAGACCACAATTTATTAATGTTTGAAAGGACAATATATACAACAATCCAAATATTTCAGTTATATAACCCCTTTATCCTCCTATTCTTGCACTCCTCTTTGGGCCCAATATGCAAAACTAATTTTCAGCTAGGTAACCTCTTTATCCTCCTATTTTTGCATACAAGAGTTTGAGAGCCGCCTTATGAAATAGCTGTATAAGGAATGAAATTATGGACGAAAGGAAGAAGTGCGAGTAACAATACTTACTTCTAAGAGCTCATATTTTATCCAACCTATTTGAAATTTCATACTTATATAAACTAACATACAATTAACTTATTCAGTTATTCAATAAGAAGGTTGTCCAAAATATATATGTATCTAAAGAGTGAATAATAAACTCTGGCTACCTACATGATATACCTAAGAAAGGGATGAAATTAAATAATCACACTTGAAGAATGAATATTATTATGTACTCGCCCGTACAAATACAAATATTCAATGACAATATGATACTATTTGGTCCACCCTAATAATAGATAAAGTATGTTGGAAATCCAAATAATTTACTTACAGTTTCGAAACATAATTTCCATCTTACACACATGAATACATATGAATATGATTACATACACACATATACTTCGTATATCATACACGCATATATAAGTGCTATTTCAATAGGTACCACAAAAATATTATCACAAATGGAGTCTTAATTTTAACCAATCAAGAGACTCAACATCAACCCATGATGATCATTTTAGAGCTCATTGAATGATGCATTAAAATATATGCATATTTATTTCTTAGTTACATACGGTACCTATTGAAACCCTCTTATACATGCTTGATTACTTTTAGGAATATATATAATTTCTTAGCAGAGACCAATGGATTTCTGAAGCCCTTCCCCTCCCACTGAATGATCTAACTGGGCTTGCTTGTTATCCATATTTAGCCCAAAATGGATGTGAGGAAAATGTGCCCACTGCAAATATATTAAAGTAGGAATTATAAGAAAGGGGAATCACATATACATCCATGTCTCTATAAGCCAAATTTCTAAAAGATGTACGTACTTAATGCCAAAATAAAAATTAGAACCACCACTCTTCACTCAAAACTACATTTAATTTGCATAAAAAATCATCTATCAAAATACTCTACTTTAATTTGTACTCAATTCCAAAAGTATCACGCCTTACTAATTATTTGATACAAAGACGTGTGACCGGAAAAAGTAGTTTTGGTATATTTAAAAAGGGATTATAGTGGAAATTAAAAAAAAATAGTACCACCCATGTCATGAAGTACAATTTTTTTGCTCGTCCGTTTCAATATAAACACTTATTTCCTTTTCAAGTATAGATTTTGCGATTCAAACGTTACAAAAACACAATTCGCATTTTCTTAATTTGTTTGAATATATAGTACGTAGATAGAGTATGAGTATGTGCTAAATACATAAAGAACACACTGCACACCAATGTGCTCAATAGGACGCACATTACATAATAAATGATCACGGTTTTCTTAAATTCTTAGATCCTGAATCCCGAGTTTCGGATTATTTCTCAAGCTAACGCGCAATTTTTTCTTCGCAAAAATGCTACTTGTACACGCCGTTTTACACGCTCGTTTACACGTCAGGTGTGTTTATCTGAAAGGAACTATCTGACATCGAAATGTAAATTGTCTGTGCGCAGATAGTTCGGATTCACAAACAGTTCTCTTTACTAAAATAAAAATCACTTTTCTGTGAATAAATAGAATACATCTGACATGTAAATGAACGTGTAGAACTGTACAAGTAATATTTTTGTTTTTTATAGATGGATTTAAAAAAAATACTTCGTAGTTTACGATGCCGTGCAACTTTCAAACCTGATGTTGGTGTGACACTTTAGATCATAAACCAAATGGGGGTGGGGTGGGGGTTACATACATTTTTAGCAGCAGTGCTGAAAGCTTCCCGGTGGCTAATGTCTGGGTTGCTTGCTTTTATCCTCTGGATCTCCTCCCTAATATCAATTCATTTTCTGTCGTTATTCACATTTCCAAACAAATACCGTACGTACAAAGTAAATCTGTCTTACTTTTCAAACGAAAAATACAGCCAATTTGAACCACTTTAATCATACTATGAAAGATCTAAGTGTCATGTCTGGGCCTATGTTGGGCATAGCTTCTCTAACTTAATTGTCAGAAAAATTGGAACTACTCCCTCCGTCCCTAAATGTTGTTCCAATTGCGGATTGCGAAGGTTGACCGACGATAAAGTTAAATGATCCCTGTGAAAACTCAGATTATTTTTAGTAAATAAAATTTACATATTCAGAAACTACATTAAACCCGCTACAAAACCTGTAAAAAATAATTCAACTTTTATAAAGTTTTGATATAAAAAGTAAGAGTTTAAGAGTGATTTAAGTTGACCCTCGATAAGTGAAATGAAACTTCTTTTAGGGACAGAGGGGGTACATTTATAGGACACGACACTTCATAAGTCATAACCTAGCTGAGATGCACAATAGTACTCCCCCCTAAGTTAAGAAAGACATTTGCTATAAGTAGATTGGATTGAGTGTTACTTTGCAAACGTTTTAAAAAAAAGCACTTCTCGGCTTTTGACTTTAAAAAAGTACTTTTTTACCAAACACAACAACTTTTATTTTTCTCGGCTTTTGGCTTTCGTGTCAAAAGTGTTTTTACTTTTTCTATTACACAAAAAGCACTTATTTTACCAAACACTACCAACTTTTACTTTTCAAAATCACTTTTTTCTCAAACACTATCAACTTTTATTTAATCACTTCTCTCCATTTCATTAAAAAAGCACTTTTTTAAAGCAGAAGCTGTTGCAAACAGACCCTGAATTCTTAAGCAAGAGTTAAAGGCATTTTCATTTATGAAATTATTATTAGAGGATGATTCTAAAGCCAATTATTTCCAAACGTATGATCAGAATAGCGTCAATTCCAATCATGAATCCAAATTATTAAGAGATTAGAGTTAATTAATGAACCACAAAATCACAAATGATCAGATTATTGATAGATAATGGTTGTAGGTCATTTAGAGGTCGTTTGGTAACATAGTTTTTCGGCTTATCAGACTTATCAGTCAACTGTTTCACCAAAACAAGTAATTTTTGCTTTCGCGCGCTGAACTGTGTAATAAGCAGAAAAAGTAAGGTTGAAATTACTTTTCTGGTTGTATTGGATGAAGCTAATGTAAATGACCATTTTAGCTATTTTTACATATAATTTTTTCTTTATTTTATTAATAAAATGTATTTTAAAAATAATTTTTTCTTAAATCAGCAGAATCAGCCAATGCAGCCACTTCATCCAGAACTTCATAATTTTCAGCAGAATCAGCCGATTTTTCATGTTACCAAACGGGCTCTTAGAATGCGTATTTGAGATTATTTCTGAAATTATTACAGGCAGCGATTTAAAGGTATGGATGTTTTCTATTGGACTGTTTTCAGTTCCAAACCAGATCGGACTTGACTTTCGTAGTTATAAAATACACAGACCAGACGTTTACCAGACCAGATCAGACCAGTTCAGACCAGACCAGATCAGACGAGACAAGCAAATTTCAGTCCAAAAGAAAACATCCTAAGAATAGTAAAAAGTCTAATCATATACAAAACACGAATGAGATGCTCTAAGGACTCTAAATAAAATTAACGCATAAAACATAATAACTAAACACCGGTGGACTCAGCATGGGGGCTAATTGGGGCTGCCGTCCCCCATTTTTTCCCTAGGTATCTTTACTACGAAATTTTAATATACACGGAGTATGTTTTTGTATGTATTTTACACTGAAACATCTTCTAGCGGGAATTTCTGTGTCCGCCGCTTTATCTAAATACGGCGACATTTTGTGAGTAAGCGCGTCTATATATATTCTTGGTGCATATTTTTGGGCTAGAAATGCAAAAAATTATAATATATTTTGCGCGCACAAATATATGTATTGTTCTTTTTCTTTTTTCTTATGCAACATTTCGCAATTCGTATATGATGTAAACGGAGAATCCTGGGCAAGGCACTCCCAGATATGGGTGTTTTCTTTAATTTGTATTTATATGAAAAACTTTTTGATAAGAATATATATATATATACATAACATAAATTTCAAGTAGTATCAACATTACGTAGTATTTATCTTAAAGTAGAGCTCAATAACTATTAAATTATTAAAAGAATTTGCAATATCATGCACGTGTTTCAGTTTCTTTTGAAATATACGTAGTATTTTACATCTCAACATCTTAGTTTGCGTAACATTTTAGATACGAAGTAAATTAGAAGAAAAGTTTTTTCTCGTGCATTACACGGACACAATAGTAATAACTCTTAATTTGGAAAAAGTATAGTCCTTATGGCTTATATAATTAGTGTTATTAGT